TGGAAAGCAGCCGAATATTTGATGTTCAGCAGCTGAAGCTGAAGACACTTTTTGTTGATTTTTCTTTTTATATATTTTGCTTCACCAGCAGGTAAAAGTGGTTTCTCATCAGAAGGTTTTATAACTGGAAGAACTCTTGGCTGGTCTTTCCTCTGGCTCTGATAAAAACCAGGAAGTGGACTAACAGGAGTCCCGTGTGGACGGACTGAACCGAGCTGGAGCTGATTCCACCAGTGTACAGAGACTGTCTGCATGATATTTAGGTGTGGGATGGAGATTTATCTTGTGGATTATTTTTAAATACCCGAACAAGTCAAAAAAAAATCAGGGATTTTGTTGCTACTGCTCAAATAATGCTCAAATAATGCTTCAAAATTTAGTTTTATGATTTTATTTCAGACAGTTCATTCAACTGATACATTGATAAGGCTTTTATTCATTATATTTTGACAAAATGCAATTTTTATTAACATTTTAGTCAAAACACTATATTTGCCTCTTTCTCCATATACCACTTTTGGACTTAATCCTCGTTTCAATGTGATGGGTCACAWATATAGTGTTTCTGATACRATACCTMTGTGATTAYASAGGTGACACCTGCAGAGTGAAGAAAGCACACTCACCATGCTTCGGACTCAAGATGGGGAAGGGGTCACCCAGCTTCCAGAAGAAATACATGAAGGTGAACCAAACCATACAGGCAAAAAGAAGTCTTTGCTTCTGAACTGCAAAGTTACGCAGATCGACAAAAGATAACATTAAATCGCCAAACATTTAGACGTCATCTTTGTAAAGCAGTCATACTTACACAGTCGTATGTTGCTGACAACAAAATAGCCGATGTAGAAAGGCACCACAAAGATTAGAACCAGCAGAATCACGTACAGATTCAGCTTCCAGTGGAAATACCTGGAACTGTGACAAGGACGTAAAGGTTGGTCCCATTTATCAGCTGTGAGCAGTGAAACAAACCGATCCGAAAGGAAAGCTTATACCTGCTGCTTAAGGCACCGAGAATCTCGAAGATAATGAGCTCAAACATGGTACATGAGAATGCAAAGGTGACGGAGAAAACCACCTGGACAACATACTGACGCACCTGAAAATAAAAGCAGATGGTCTGTCAGGACKTTTACACATCAAATAATAAAAAAAGGAAGGTGAACTTTTTTCTATCAAAATCTTCATAGTCCCTTTAAACATTTCAAATAGTATTTTCTACACAAATGTCTTGTGATATAGCCATACCTCATAGTCTTTGAATAACTGCCGCATGAAAAACAACCAGCCAAACCCAAAGAACAACACCTGTGTCAAAACAAACAGAATTATTTTTAAAGAAGACGTAAGAAGCCAGCTGTATCCCAGTTTCTTTGTTTGTTTTCTGTAGGTTTTTCCCATTTAATTTCACCAAACTAGTTTAATTTTCTGAAATATTAAACAGCTACTATTAAAGCTAATGGACTTCATCCCTCATGTTTGCCTTTCATGACGTTTTGAGGCATTGAACTTTAACTAAAGGGTTGTTTACAATAGCAGAACAATATGTGTCAATGGTGTTAACAAGTGAAAACAAAAAAAAAACAAGTTTGTACACAAATTCTTATTTTATCGAGTGCTACAAATATATTTTTTATTTTATTTACCGTTATTTAACCAGGCAAGTCCCATTGAGAGCACAGATCTCTTTTTCAAGGGAGGCCTGGGCCAGAAAGCACCCTATTGTACATGTTTTTTTTATAAACAATGAAACAACTCTAGAGAAAGAAACACATTTTATAATCGCAAATACTTAGGCCTAAAGTGATCTTTATCTTATTTTAATTAAAGCTGCATAAAAGCAATAAGTAAACATTAGCACAAAATTATATATGCATTATTACATAATATGAAATATGTCATTTCATATTAATGTRCATGTTTCTGTTCAAACTATACAAAATTCATTTGACTTAAAGGAGATGTTTCATGCTTTTTAAATCCTGCTTTTTCATGTTTAAATCATTCGGTTGGGGTCTATAAAATGGAACGGCAATGCTTTGGTCTGAATTCCTCCTCTTTCAGCTTTTTTCTGAGGTGTGTTTTAAATTATGTCCTAAATATTACCAAAAACGATTGAAGATATATTTGCAGCACCAGGAGGGACAAAATTCAACTTATCTGCACTACTAGAGACTCCAAGWACWCAACAAAATGCATTCAATGGCTMTAAAAGTGGATTTTGCATATGTCCMCTTCAATTGTGAAGACTTTAGTTGTAAAACTAAAACAGCACATTTTTACTGTTCACTTTAAAAATAACAGATCCTATGTGATGTGTGATATTCGCACAAGACAATCACAAAGATACTATTTAAACAACAATGTGCATTAAAAAGAGTTTTCACGTAACATTACAGTACATATTATGAAAATTGTCACAATGCAACATGAATTTAACTAGTCAATCGAAACTGTAGCCAAACAAAACTATTAATATCTGGTGAAATACGTACGTATGGTCCTGCATAAGAAGGTATGTTGGTATTTATTTTCAAATAGTTCGTAATGCAAAAAATATTTTTTTGTTTAAGGACTTAAGTTGGACGCATAAAAGGTTTTGACATTTACCTGAGAGGTGAACATGATCACTGAGTCCACCAAAAACGACATGATGACAAACTTAAAAGCAGCCTCTCAGTTTCAGTTCATCTTAGTTCAAAACCTGATAATACTCGTATGTTTTGGAATAAAAAGTATGTTAAGTCACCAAAGAGATCATTTTAGGGGCATTTGTTTTGCATTTCGGCTTCTGCTCATCAGTCCRGCAGATCCACTTCCGTCGCACAATTATGACGTCATGTAAACTCAAACTTAAAAATATTTAAAAACTAGGAAACATCAAAAACTATTTGTGAGCGAACTAGCATAGTTATCGGATCTGAAAAATAATACGGCCAAAAATACAACAACAATAGAAAATATCATAAAAATATTATTTTTTAAATCTTGTTTTAAGACGATTTTGCAGTTTGAATATTTTAAATTTCATATTTAAATTTACCCCGACTTAAAAAAATAAATTTTTAATCCTAAACAATATTTAGTTTTGCCTACTTTATAAATAAGAGAAACAGTAGTGCCACTTGAAGAGAAACAGTATTTCTCTAAGACTGACACCAGAGGGCGCTGTGAGACAAAAATACATGAAACTTATTATTGACTCCATGCAGCCCCTGAGTTTTACTCCTGTGCTCAATATCAGCCAGTTTGCCACTGGAGACAGTCTGAGCTGGTGCTGCTCATAGTATGTATTTAAATCAGTAGGAAACAGGTTCTTTCTTGATGAAAAGCCCCAAAGCTGCTGSATTAAAAGGATGAACATTTTGCAGAACATTCGGTAGCTTTTTCTTTTATTTTACATTAGGACACAAGAGGTAAGTGGATCTTATGGAAATATATGTTCTTATTCAACTAGTAAAAGAAAGTGATRATCTGAGCTTTTCTTATTTTTAATTAACTTAAGCTGTTTATGCTTTAATTTAATAAACAATAATGGTCTTAATAGATGGACATTTCCTGACAAATTAAAAAAAATTGTTTAGTTCGCAAGTTTGTTTTCTTGCAATACTTTGGATTGAATGTTATGATACACTATGTGTAGATTTGGTTTTGATTCATTTTTATAACTTACTGGTGGTATTTAAATTAAAAAAAGGAGCAAAGTAAACCCAAATATCTGATCATTGTTGGTCCTACTGGTTTGATACGTATATATAT